TTGGAAATGTTATGAACAGCATCCAGGGAATCCTGCACATTACCCCCCCGGGCTTGAACAGGCGTCACTGGTTCTTGCGTTGAAAATGCGAAGCTGTTTTGAACAGTTGCAACTGGTTCTTGTGGCGAAAATATGAAGCCATTTTGAGCAGACGCCAAAGGTTGTTGAGCCAAAAATGCTGAGTTATTCTCAGCAATCCCTACCGGTTCGAGGTCTAAAAACTCCATGTTACTCGAAGCAACCCTCACCGGTACCTGAGTGCACATGTCCAAATTATCCTGGACATTCTCTAATGGCTCTTCAACAGTATAACCATTTTCATCATATATAATTTCCACTACTCCAAGAATTCTCGAAGTCCCGTGTGATACATTTTCTGCTGGTACAGATAGTGCTTCAGTGTCTATTTGCCTCGGAATATCCATTAAGCAAGGAACAGCCCCATAAAAATTGCCACCTTCATTTTCCGTGGATCCATATGACATACCATTGCAGTAGTATGTTGAATCTTCTATCGTATCTGGTCTATTCCCATAGCAATTGTATGAAGAGTCACTCGTGTTCCCATCGGAACGACTACCATTGGTAGCATTGCTTGGTGTATCCTCATCTGCTCGGCTGTTGCTTTCTTCTTCCTCATCTGCTTGGCTGTTGCTTTCTTCTTCCTCATCTGCTCGGCTGTTGCTTTCTTCTTCCTCATCTGCTGGGTTGTCCCTTTCTTCTTCTTCATCTGTTGGGCTGTTCCCTCCTGCACCTGCACCAGTTGGGTTGTTCCTTTCTGCACTTCCATTTGCTGCAGTGTTGTCGTTATCCTCTACGTCCAGGAGGAGCAAATCTAGCGCGTCATCAGTTGTTGGCCACTGGGACGGGTTCGTCAATCCAATACGTCGAATAATGCGGTTTACATAATACACAACTATATCTGAAGGCTCTAAGTTATATATCCGTGCGCAAATTTCATTATATACGTCTTGCACCACATGAATCTCATCTGCTGATAAATTTCTAAACCCTTCACATAACTGATCATAAAATATTTTCGTGTACTTATAAATATGGTATGCGTCAGGAACTGTGTTCATCTCTTTGTACGTATGAGGCCTGTAGCTCCCGTCTTCAACACATTTCTTAAATTTCTTCATTATTTGTACTAACTTTCTGCGCACCACTAGCACATTCTTCTTTTCATCACAAGCTTCAAACAACTGGCAAGGCAACTCTTCTGGCAAATTCCACACTTGATCTACATCCGTAAACAATCTCGTTAAGACATGAAGCCAATAATGCACAAATCTGTAACTGTAACACAACTGAGACGCGTAGGTTCTAATAATTCTGTCCATTTTATAATCGAAGAAATTGGTAATGTGATGCACTGTTAAAATTTTGTCTCTAAGTTCCTCGAAACAATCATCGATTTTTTTCAAAGCTATAATGTAAGGATGATCTACAGCATATATACCATCTTCCTCCTCAGTGCTCCTGCGGTAGCTTTCTCTATACTCTCTAATCTTGTTTTTCATATCAGCAGATCCTACATCTCTTATATTCTTTCTTAAAGAGGTCATAATGTCTAAAATAATTTTTCTGCACCCCTTTATAGTATCAATATACATATCATCATTCTTCTCCAGCATCACCCGTCCTAAAACATCTTCCAGATAATCATCTCTACTTTTCTCAATAATGGGATTCGTTGTCATCCTTTCAAAATAGGTAAAGATCTTTTTACACTCAGAGAAACGATATTTGGGGTATAAACTTTGAATCTTCTTTCCATAATAATATTTCGTCGAATACTCGGGACTGAACTTATTGTTTTCCTTGAAGCATGAAATAAATTCCGATACAATGCCTTCTGCATATTTTAGAACACGTGAAATTTCTTTCCAATTCTTGCTCCCTTCTTTGTCAGCATATTTTCTACATTTTGTTCTGCCTGATACGTTTGGACGATGGTTATACATGTTTCTAATCTTGTTAAGCTTTCTGTCCTCAGGCATTTCATCAACTTTTGGGAGCATATATTCTGCTGTGTCACGCATTCGGTTCATAACATCTGCATTTCTTTTTCTATAATCCCCTACCAACACTCTTTTCAAATGAACAGTCTCTTGCTCTAGATCACTTTCATCAGGGATTACAGTGCTTTCTCCGTTTTCACTATCATCTGAAGGTGCTGTGTCACTAAGTTCTTCGCTGTTATCTGGTTCAGGGATCCTTTCACTGTCACTACTCTCCTCATCAATATGAGTGCTCACTTCGGAATTCTCATCATCACTGCTTCCACTACCGCTATTACCAGGCTGTACATCATTAGTTGCTCCACTTCTCTGAGCCAGCTGACTTTCGCCACTGTTTGCAGCTCCCCCTACTGCAACTGCAACAGTGCCTAAATCAACATTGTCAAACAAGCTACCACGCGCATTTTCCCGATTTGAGTCATCTGTACCGTTATTCTGTTGCATTCTACGCGAGAGTATCAACAATGAGCTACCTCTTCCCCTCTGGTGGCCTCCTAAACTACTCTCACTCTTAACACCTTCGCACCATGGTGCAACATCGGCAGCAGCATCCAGGCAATCTTCCCTTTTAAAGTCGTCCTCTCTTTTTAAACTCTCTTCCTCTCGCTTTACACTCCTGTCCCACCTATTCCCTTTAAAACTGTTGCGCACATAGAGCTTTTCACCTTTGGAGGGCAGAACATCATCTTTTTTCTCGGTAGACCTTTCCCAAGACATCACATACTCACTGTTACCCGTATTGTCCTCTCTTTTCAAGTCATCATCATCCCTTCGACTGTTTCCCATGGGTAACATATATGCACAATTACTTGCAGCATCTTCTCTTTTTAAGCTTTCCTCACCAGCTTTTGCGCAAGAACTCCACGGCAGCATAAAACCAGATACACCTTTGCTCACCATTTTCGCTTCTTTCCTGTCATCATTCTTCTGAGCACCCTGTTTTTTCTGTTTTTCCCTTTCTTCATCCGATTCATCCTCATCACTTGAAGATTTCTCATCATGTGATGAAGAATTCTCCCCATCCGAAGGACCATCTCCGTTGTTACTGTTCCCTCGCTCGTCTCCACCTCCGCTTCCACTTCCATTTCCGTTTCCACTTCCATTTCTGCTTCCGCTTCGACGTACACTTCTGCTAAGACGTGCATTTCTGCTTCCACATACGTTTCCGCTTCCCTGCACGTTGTCGCATCCACGCACATTTCCGCTTCCGCATCCGTATCCATTTCCACTTCCACTTCCGCTTTCACTTTGGATTCTACTCACGATGTCACAGTCAGCAGCACAGTCCTCTATCAGCATGCTCCTTCCCTTGGGAAAATAGGGCCCCTTAAATACTTCTGCACTCTCCTCTTTCTTGGTTTTCTCCTTGCCTCTCCTCACTGTGATCGTGTAAACAGCCTTCGTCCTCCTAACAAGTCCTCTATTAAAATTATACTGAGTCTTTATATTACAAAGCGATCTGTGCATGTCGTACTTCTGACCATGGATGTACTGAAAAACAGCATAATAGGATATTTGGCAGATGTTTCTCACTGCGCAGTACCGTGTTTTCCAAAAACAAGTAGCAAATCCCTTTGAATGAGGTAAATAATGAACACTATTAGGTTCATTACTTACAACCTCCAACATCTGTGCATCATTTTCCAAGGAAGACTGATCAGCCTCTTTGAAAAGTGCTCTAACACCTTTCAAATCGCACTCTGCACAGTCCTTCCACAACGCACTACCAATTCCCTTTGATGATCTTGCAGTGTCTCTGAAAAGCGCTCTAACACCTTTCAAATCACACTCTGCAAAGTCCTTCCACAACTCACTAC